ATGAATTGTGTCTGCGTGTGTTTCTTCCCCTCCTGAGCGGAGGCGTAGAGGCCCCGCGGGAGGAACCCGCGCGGCCGAGGCTCCGAGGGCCAGCCCGAGAGGTATACGGCGAGAAGGAAGGCACCCTCGGGGGAGAGGACCACAGGAGACCGGCGAGCGCAGCCCCCACGCATGCGCGCGGAGTCTGCATAGGGGGAGCAGCGGTGGAGCGAGGCGTGTGCGGCTGGCCAGTCGTGGGAGGTGCTCGCTGCCGCTCGTGCCGCGCACGCAGGGCTCTGCGAGGGGTGCTCGAGAGGCGCGGGCCTCCCCCCCAGCTTCGAGGGGAGACCGAGCACCCCACCTCCAAAAAGGAACCTGGAGGCCCAACGAGTCGGGCCAAGGCCAGCAGCTCATTGCTCCGCAGGGGAGCGGGAGAGCGGGGAGAAATGGACGACGCGCGAGAGGGTCGAAATATAGCGCGGGAGTCATGGAGGTGAGCACGGAGGCTGACCCCAGACCCCCCCTTGGTGATCTCAGCCGCCCTCACCCGCCATTCCTGGAGCGGGGCGGCGAAGTTTGCCAGCACCATCGCCCCTGGCCCGAACAACATCGCCAAATACGTTCCCGAGGCACTCACGCGAAACAGCGTCCACCCCAGCTCAGCGGCCTCCAGCCTCTCCTGGACATCGGTCACGACTCCCAGCGTGGTCGAGGTCCAAATGGGGGATCGTTTGACAACTTGCTGGCTTACGCCTCAGGTTGGCGAGCTGCGCCGCCGCCGAGAGCACTCTCGCCGCCCGTCCCGCGGTCGGATCATGAGTATGCAGCACGACGGCGAGGTCACATCTACGGGTGACGCCGAGGCGGGCCTGGCCGATGGCTTCCAACCGGGCCTCGAGGAATATAATCGGTGCACAGCGCCCCCGGAAAAGGACATGCTTGCAGCACGCCCGAGGAGAGCCAAGCGAACAAGACGCGCACGCCACGACGGAGTCTGCAGGCCCGGGCAGCTGCGCCACCGGGCCACGCCACGGAAGCCGCTGGGCAGACCGAGAGATAAAACAGGGCTAGGATCGAGATAAATCGCCCCAGAGTGTTCCGGAGCGCTCTCAGAGCGTTCCGGAACGCTCCGGAGCGGCCGCGGCGCCCAATACATCCTCCCAACCCGCCGATTCTCAGAGATTTCGAATTATCCCGATCCGATTTTGTCCCGATCTTCGTGTCGTTTTAAGAGAGCCTCCCACGCGCAGCAGAGCCGGGCCTGCGCCAGAGACGGCGGCGCCTGCGCGCAGTCGACGGGCAGCGTCATAGCGGGCGCCTCGCAACGGCCCGTGGCAGCGTGCCGGTGACGCGGGCCTCCACGTCTTGGGCGCCCGAGTTATCCGGGGTAACTCGGGTCCGGGGTAAGTCGGGTTTGGATTCCCGAAAAAGGAACCCGAGTTAGCCCTGACCCGAGTTACCCCTGATGATTCGGGGCTCTGGACGCCCGAGTTATCCGGGGTAACTCGGGTCCGGGGTAACTCGGGTTTGGATTCCCGATAAACGAACCCGAATTATCCCTGACCCGAGTTACCCCTGATGATTCGGGGCTCTGAACGTCGAGCTCCACGACACTGAGGCCCAGAGTGAAAAGGGCGCCGGCGGCAGCGCAGAGCTTGCTGCCCGCGGCCTCTGAGGCAACCGCCACGAGCCCATCGCTGAAGGCGAGGCGCACTTGGCGGCCGGAGGCCACCCACCCCACGCGATCAGGGAGGACCTCTGTGGCGATCGGGTGTCACCAGCCGCCGCGCGGAATACCATCGGGCCCCAAGGCGGAGTGCCGCGCCATCCCGAGCACCTTCTCCATCGTGCCGCCGCAAGTGTGCCGAACGGCCAGCGAATCCCCGGGGCCGAACAATACCTTGAAACGCTTTACGAACTGGCACCATGCCAATATTCCGCACCTCCTGGAATACAATCGGGGCGTTGACCTAAGGAACCCTAAATAAGGAACGAGGCCCCTTTTTTCCATGAGTTAAACTTTGATTCCCCATCAAAAAATCTGAAGAAAACCTAGGGCAAACTGTGAAACAATGAAGGAACACGGAGCCCCTCCCCAACGAGAAGGGTTCCTTCTTCAGCGCCCCGACTGTATGGGCCGTCAGTGCTCCGCCAGGGCGCGATGCATGGCCTCCCCAAGCTACAGGGTCGCACGCCTCGGCCACGGAGACTGCAGGGGCCCTGGGACACACAAATAAATACACACAGATCAAAAGGTCCCCCATATTTTCCTACACCTTCTGGGCTTCTTGTCTTCCCCACCACTTCCCATAGTTTCCCATCTTTTCTCGGGGATCGACAATGGATTGCGCCTGTGTGTTTTTATCCCCCCCCGAGAGACCAAGGCATTCTGCGAAGTAATGATTGATCGGTACTTTATTCTTGGCTCGTTGGTTCGTGATTTGACGCGTGGGCCAACAATCTGGATCCACTCCGTCTTGTAATAACAGCCGGTCTGTTTTTCTCTCCGTGGTGATCTTGGCGTACTCTTTTGCATTCCTTAATTGCTCGTCACGTTGATTTACGCTTCCAGTGCAATTTCCAGTAATTTCCCGAGAGGAACTCGCACCGGCGCGAGGGCGCCCACACGGCGGCCCGGCACACCAGAGCGCGCGCCCGTGCGCGCTCGCCCGGCGGCTGCCCGTGGCCTGTGGTGGGTCGCCCTCTGCCTGCCGTGCCGCAGCCGGGGCCAGCGCAGAGGCTTGCCCGCCTCGAGCGTGCCCCTATCCCTAAGATTGACACGCCAAGAGGCGATGACAGTCTTGGGGATCCGCCCGCAAAAAACAAAAGGAATCCCTAAGATTGGCATCGTGGTGAGGAGGTGCCCGGCATAGGGATGGGGATGTGTTCCAGGCTGGTAAGAGGCCTCTCGTCGCAGCATGCGAGATGATCTGCCCGTCGCCCGTGGCTCTGCACGCCGATGACACTTGGAGGCCTGGAAATGGGCACCAACACCAAGACAGGGGGTTGCCTCCACAGAGGGAAGATGACCCTAGATTTCGTTGTTGGTGGTGATATCTCGACCACCTTGGAAGCCAGAGTAGTACCACCATCACCGAGATCGGGATCTTCTTCCCTCGGTGGAGGCACACGGCCGATCTTGGTGTTGGTGTCTCAACCTCCAGGCCTGCGAGACACCGCCTTCCGCGGAGAAGCGCGCCCAGAGGCCCTCGAGCGTGCACAGCCGACTCCGCATCGGCCGCGGCCGCCGGCGCCGGAGGGCGCGCGCGGCCGACCGCGCGCCCAGTGGCCCTCCCCTGGAGCTTCGACAGGCCGGCGAGGACGTCCGTCGCCCGCCACGACGGCGATGACCTGCTGCAGCAGCTCGTGCTGCGCGGGCGGCACGAGCGAGTCGAGGTCGCGACGCCCGCAGCTGCGGTCCATCATCAGCTGCTGGAAGCGTGGCGACTGGACGAAGTGCGCTGGGAAGGGCCGCCGCCGCCGGTCGCAGAGGTTCTGCTCGGCGAGCTCCGCTGCGATGGCCGCGTGGTCGCTGAGCTGCCGCGCCTCCAGGCCGTCGGGCGAGACGTCTCAGCCCGCCCTCTGCCAGGAGCCACAAGGCAGCAAGCATCGGAGGCTGGAAAGTGGCACGTCGGACCGCGAGAATAAGTCCCCACGGGAAAATGTAGGTTCCTGGTTGTGGAATTCGGTCAAGTCCTCCCAAAGACAGGCCCGCTCCCTCTGCGTCGGGGAGACAGCTCTGCACCGAGGGCGACTCCGTCCCTGGCGCCGAAACCCCACTCCCCACCCTCCACGTCCGAGATGTTGAAATCGCCGTGGCAAAATGCAAAACGCTGAGTGGGCGCAGACGCCGCGAACGCTACATCCTCCTCAATTCGCCGACTGGCGGCGAGCACATGGGCCAACAAAAGGTCGTGGCTGTGCACGTTCCAGATAACTATGTGACAAACGTCGTCCTACGATCCTGCTGGAGACGGCCTCCCGTCGAAGATTGGAATGCAAGTGTCCACCCATGCCGCGGCTTCGTGGCTGTCCCATGGACCGTGGTGCAATATGCCATCAATGATGGCGTCGTTGCCGTGAGCCTCTTGAAGAAGGAGCACGTGCAACGCAACACGTACTTCCTCATTGGGGGTTACTGCGAAAAAAAGGGATTACATTGTGATTAGGGGGATGAGGTGGCCGACGAGCAGGAGAATGAGCAGGGAAAAGAGGAGGAGGACGAGCAGCAGGAGAGGGAGGAGCAGGAGGAGCAGGGAGGACCAGGGGAAGGCGGAAGAGCGGAAGGGACGAGGCGGCAGCGCCCAGGAAGACATCGGATCCAAACATGTGGCCCGCGATGGGGCGAGAGCGCGCCCCTCGGAACGACGGGAGCGAAGCGCCGACCCTGAGAGGAGGCCGACGCTGCAGCGGAGTACCAATTTGAAGGGCCGATCGAGAGCGCGTTCTGATCGGACGAACGACACCGTGACACTAAACCTTGCCGAAGTCCGCGCAATGACAAGAATAGTAGTCAGACTGCATACGTGTGCGAGAGAGAGAGAGAAGGATACAGTCCCCGTAGACGCTCACCCTCAACTACTTGTTCTGGCACTTCGTTTGGTTATCTAGTCCCCGTAGACGCTCACCCTCAACTACTTGCTCTAGCGGTAATCCTGTTGGTTCGTGGTACGTCGTCCCACCTCCTCCCACCGCCTAAGTACTCCCTGACCCTCTGTCCGCCCTGAGCCCTCTCCTCCCTGTCCTCCCTCTCACCAACATCTCCTCCCTGCCCCCCCCCTTCGCCAGCACGTCGTCGTCGTCATGCGTCCCCCGTGCTGCTCCTGCTGCACACACCCTCCACCTTGCCGTCGCTCGGACGTCCATTTCCCGTGCATGTTTCGGTTTCGTACGCGCTTTTTCTTCCTCGATGGTCCAGGATGGTCCTCGATGTTTCTCGCCGAGAAAAAATACACACGTCCAAGCGATGCCAAGCCACCCCCCGAGGTGGGCAGGAGGAGCACTCGGCGGCCCGGGCGCGCCGTCGCAACGGCTGTCGGGCCCGTCTCCGCCTGGAGCTGCTGCGTGGCCGCGTGCAGCGCCTGCGTGGGGGGGGGGGGGCAAGGATGATGGGCTTGTTTTCCACCACCACCACCATAAGTTGGAGGGGGGAAGGAGGAGGAGGGTGAGGAGGAGTAGGACGAAGAGGAGGAGGAGGAGGAGGAGGAGGAGGAGGACCCCGCCTCCAACTAATGGTGGTGGTGGTGGAAAACACGCCCATCAAAGGATACCGATACCGCTGCTTCACCAGACTGCTCCAGGGGTGCGTCCGGGGGTCAGCCTTTCGAGACGAATCCACCCGTGGCGGCGAGGAGATTGTCCCTGCGGTAGTTCCACGGGCGGTCGTCACCCAGGAGGGGGGGGCTGTGGCCCCGAGCAACAGTAACGCTTGAGCGGGGTGGGGCACGTCGGAGCGGGGTGTGCGCTGCGGTCGCCAAAACATGCGCGCGGGCACCAGCGTGTGGGTGAAGGGGCGTTACCGTTACCAAAGGGTGGGGGGGCGGGGGGGTGGCCCAGGAAGCGACCGTGACGCGCCAAAGGATTAGAAAATAATCTCGGACGGGTTCGAGTAAGAGTTCGGATGCAAAATCGATATATCCCAAATTTGATGTCCTCGTCGAGTCTACAAAAAAGCACGTGGGATACTCCGTATATCTACGAACATGCCACGTACTGTTCATGGACCCGACGTGGCAAACAGGGGTACAGCCAGACCTAAGACAGAAGAACATCCTCTGAGAACATGCGACCCTCTGCCAGCCTAAAGGAAGAACGTTCGAGGGCACCCTCCCCCAGGATGCACGAGAACATCCAACCTGCACGAAGAACAACAAGGTACCCTCCCCGAGCCGACCTCGATCTGATACCTCGGTCCAGCCGTACATCGATGATGTGCTCGATCCCCCCTCCTCCTCCTCCTCCACCTCCTCCACCTCCTCCACCTCCTCCTCCTCAGGCACTGGCCGACAGTGCCATCATAGCGAAGGTGCGAGACCAATACAACGTGGTCCCGCACTCGCCCGTCCTCCTCCGGGGCAACATCCGAACCATACCCCGCCAACCGTCGATTCTCCTGAATACATGGGCGGCGGAGGTAAGGTTCGGACTTCGCAACGTGTTCGGCGAATCGCGAACACTGCCACCCGCCGCCCGTCGAGTTGCCTGAATCGTGGATCGGCGAGCGTGGGGTTCGGATACCGCCAAGGACAAACCACAACGACGTTTGAAACGACATGGCCCGTTCGACGAAAAGCAAAGCGAAACCCAACGTCCAAAACGAATGTGTGAAACAAAACCAGTGCCATACGGTACGAACGAAACGAGGCGCTCAGCACACATACCAGAAAAACGCAACGAAACAACAACGATGAACGAAACGAACAACAATGAAGGGGCCCTGGGACACACAAATCCGCCGGCCCCCTTGTGGGGCCACCAGGCTGTAGGCGCGTGATTCGCAGTTTCCTGTACCAGTTGTAGTTCCCAGTTTCCAGTGTTACAGTTCTGCTTCTTGCTGGTTACTGTAACTAGTTCATTTCTTGCTGGTTACTGTAACTAGTTGATTGACCGCGCGAGGGGGGGGGAGGCCCAAACAGGATTTTCCAGCGTCCCCTGGGCGCGTTGTCTGAATTGCTGGGGGGGCTCGAAATCGACACCACTCACGCAGATCCGCGGGGTCAGGGTCCAAAAACACATGAGATTTGCCATATTTCTGAAATTCGGTGCCACACCTCACGCAGATCCGCGGTGTCAGGGTCCAAAAACACATGAGATTTGCCACATTTCTGAAATTCGGTGCCACCCCTCACGCAGATCCGCGGGGTCAGGGTCCAAACACACATGGGATTTGCCACATTTCTGAAATTCAGTGCCACCCCTCACGCAGATCCGCGGGGTCAGGGTCCAAAAACACATGAGATGTGCCACATTTCTGAAATTCAGTGCCACCCCTCACGCAGATCCGCGGGGTCAGGGTCCAAATACACATGAGATTTGCCACATTTCTGAAATTCGGTGCCACCCCTCACGCAGATCCGCGGGGTCAGGATCCAAAAACACAAGGGATTTGCCACATTTCTGAAACTCGGTGCCACCCCTCACGCAGATCCGCGGGGTCAGGGTCCAAAAACACAGGGGATTCGGGATTTGCTACATTTCTGAAATTCGGTGCCACCCCTCACGCAGATCCGCGGGGTCAGGGTCCAAAAACACATGGGATTTGCCACATTTCTGACATTCGGCGCCACCCCTTACGCAGATCCGCGGGGTCAGGGTCCAAAAACACATGGGATTTGCAACATTTCTGAAATTCGAACCCATCACGCACATCCGTCGCAAGGCGTGGTAACCCAAACTGCGAGAACTCCCTCGGCCCTTTCATCGCAAGGTGTGGTAACCAAGCCCTTAAACCATACACGTCTTACCAATCGCCAGGTGTGGTAACCCCTCTTGTGATCAGTTGGTTTTGCTGATTGCGACTCGGCTTCGCATGAAGTTTCGATACTGCTTCACGACAGCGCCAAGGCCTCATGACTTAGCTTTTCCATGGCCCATTCTCCGAGAGAGGGGGCCGGCGGCAGGGGGCGAAGCCCTTACGGATAAATACACATATGTAAAAGGATCCCCCATAATTTCATATATATATATATATATATATATATATTCTGGGTTTTTGTCTTCCCCCCCACTTCCCATATTTTCCCATATTTTCCTGGGAGTGAGCAATTCATTGTGTCTGTGTGTTTCTTCCCCTCCTGAAGCAACAGCGTCGGGGTCGGTCCTTGGATCCCGCCGCTGACCCCGCGCGGCCGAACGAGGCCAGCGCGCCGCCGACGCGAGACGCGGCGGGCGAGCGGCGCGCCGCCTCCAGCATCCGCTCCTTCACCGCCGCGCCGCCGACGAGCCGCGGCGCCGTCCAGAGCCCCTCTCCTCTGGCGGCCGCGGTTAGGGAGCGACGGGGAGGAGGGAAGGGGAGGGGGAGGGGGAGGGGGAGGAGGAGGAGAAGGAGGAGGAGGAGGAGGAGGAGGAGGAGGAGGAGCAGGAGGAGGAGGAGGACGATCGCTGGGGAGTATCGCGGTCGAACGAATAAGCAGGAGACGCACGCGCCCCGAAGATGTCGCAGCCGAACTACGCCACATGGGCCGACCCCGTGCCAGCCTCAAATCGGCCAAGCCCTTTTGTCCTAAAACGGCCAGTTCGTGGTCGGGTGTATCTCCACCTGACGCGAGCGCACAGTCGGGGCGTTGACCCAAGGAACCCTAAATAAGGAACGAGGCCCCTTTGTCCCGTAAGTTAAACTTCGATTTCACATGGAAAACATAAGGAAACCCCAAGGCAAAATGCAAACCAATCAAGGAACACCGAGCCCCTCCCCAACGGAATAGGTTCCTTCTTCAGCGCCCCAACTCTACCTTACACACCTGCGACAGAACACAAAACCCGAGCAAATGACTAAATGGTGCCCTCCGGCACGGGCTTTGTCCACCACACCCAACACCAGCCAGCGTCAACCCGTCGGGGGTGACAGGGGCCCCCTGAAGGTGGAGGGGGGGAAGCTCGCCCCCGCGTTCCTCCATGGTCTGGCTGGGTGGTTTCGAATCTCGCGGTGGACTTGAACCCCTTCACGGCGTCGACGATCGCTCTAACGAAGAGTCCTACGTCGGCGGCGACTTCTAAAATACCAGAAACTGTCGTACACTTCGGAATATAAGCTTTACGGTGCCAAGCTGGATAGCATGGCGGCTGGCTCCTGCTTTGGCGCGTGTACCGGCTACCCTGTGCCCCGCACATCTCACCAGCCCATATCTCATCGAGCTGGGCTCTCGTAGCGTCGGCCTTCACATGTTCAATCGGCACTGCCCGCGGGCTCAGAAGGCCGCGCCCGGCGATCTCAGCCAAACAGCGCCCCCGCGGGTCCACGCGCATGACCCCTCGCCTCGTTATCCTCTGCGACCCGTGAGCGAAGCCGTCCACGACGCGCTGGCAATCAGTGGAAATCCGCGCTGGTGGGCACGCAACCAGAAGTGCTTGGAGCACCTCGCATAACCCAGCTCGAATACTTGAGCGCGACCTCTGGGCGCCAGCCAACTGCCGGGAAAAGTCCGAGCGCAGCGCGATCGCCTCGGCCCCAGGACTGTCGCCCGAAAATGTTGAATGAAATGGGTCGGTTTGTCTGCGCTGACTGCCACGGTCACGCGGCCCCAGCCCGCGCGCCCGACGCGCACTGCGCGCCCCAGAGCGCACCCCCGCCGGCGCAGACGTCACCCGCGAGGAAGCCGCCCCAGCCGCCTTCCGCGAACCAGTCGTCGCAGGACGGCAGTTGCCAGAGGCGCATATCAATCGCTGGATCGACGGATTGGCCCCCCGCTGAACGACGCGGCGGCCGCCGACCGCCGCTCCGCGGGCCGCGCGCGCAGAGCGAGACGGCGCGACGACCGCCTGCGCGCCCGGGCCCGGCGCGAGCCCGCGCGCGCGGCAGCGGCCGTCGGCCGCGGCGCGCGTCTCGAACAGGCGCCGCTGCGGCCGCGCGCCCCGCGGGCCCCAGGAAGAGCGACTGCAACAATATTTCTGGCCCCGCTGCCGCGAAGCCGTCCTCATCTGCTCCTCCGTCGCTGCCCTCGCGAGACGGCGCGCCTCCTGCAGCGGCGCGCAGCGCAGGTCGCGGGCCGCGGACTCGGTCGCGAGCGCGCGCGCGCGGCGCGGGGATTCCAGCCCGCCGAGCCGCAGGCCCCCGCGCCACCTGCCACGGCGCCCTGGCGCGGGCGACGCGGATGACCCGCGCCCCCGCTGCAGGCGCCGCATCGCGGTCTCGCCCGGCACCGCCTCCCTTCGCACCTGCGCCCAGGCCGCAATCGGCCCGAATTGACCAGCGCCCTGGGACCCACGTCGTCGCGCAGCCGCGCGAGGCACGTGGATCCCCCATGCACGGCCGCCGCCGCGCCGCGCAGCGGCTCGCGCGGCCTGCTGATCGCCACCCGCCCGACCCCGACGTCGCAGAGCAGCGATGGCAACTCGGCGCGCCTGATCTGCCCACGCACCAGGCCCCCCGCTCGACTGGCCGCTGCCGCCCAGGAGGAGCAGGAGGAGGAAGGCGGCGGTGGCGGGGCATCTCCGATAGATGAAAACACACTGCTGTCCACAAAGCGCAAAAACACGAATTGACATGCCGAGCGGCAGCGGCGGCGGCAACACCCAGGGGAGGACGGGAAAGCCACAACTACGACTACAACACTTGCACTCTCACCTGCAGGCCCTCCCACGGCCCTTGCCCAAACTCCAGGTCGCATACTGACGATCGCACTTACGCTGTCCACATCGATCCTGGACGAGCCCCACCGATTCGATCTACTCGGGGCGGTAGACTCGAACGAACTGGAACCCCAAAGTCGTTTGTCGCGGAAGCGTCCGGAAACCATGATGCTGGACCCCCGCCTTTCCCGAACTGCGCGACGCTGACGACTCCAGAGGAAAACGTGAGATACGATGGAATCGAACTGTGTCGCGCCCTTCTGGCAATGTCCAGCAAATCTGAGCAATTGTCTCCGCGCCAGCGCATTTGCGACCGATGTCCCCCCCCTTTCTTCACTCGCTGGATTCGTTCAAGCACAACGCGAGAACGCGACTCATCAGCCTCTCATTGAAGTCGCGGCCAGCGCAGGCGTCGCGCCAGTCCCGCTCTCATCGCAAGAGCGGCCGCCCTGCTCTGGCGGCGCGCCAGAGGCTGGTAGAGGACGCCACTCGGCGCATTAAGTGCCTCGAAGCCCCGGCACTGAACCTGCTGACCAGGAGGCTCCGAACAGCCCCCGCGGCCGACGCGGCCGAGCGCGGCTTCGCCCGAACGCCATGATCCACCTGTCCACGAGAGTGCGTCCAGATCAGTGACCTGCATGGCTTTGTCATGCAGAATGATCTCGGCGGCCAGGCGCATCTTGCTCCGAAGATGTGGCGCAGTAAGAGGGCGCGCCGAACGACTAACACGCCCCCCAGGAAGATCACATCCGACGGGCTTCAACGCGGATGCACATGTTCCCGATATCCCACGCGCACCTTCACACCAAAACAAAGAAGTTGGCAATCAGTGCAATGAGCGGGGAACCTACAGTAACACATCGCATTGTGGCGCCCACCGCGCGCCGCTGCAATCAACTGCACCCCCAGCCCCCCATTGATACGCTTCTTTCGCGCAACACGCGAGCAGCCAGGAAGCCGAGGGCCCCGCGCAGAGCCTTGAGGCACGCAACGAGTGGCCGCCGAAGAACCGGGAGTCTCTCCGCAGGAGTGCACATTGCACCGAACAGAGCCCTACGGTCTCCGAAACAAAGCAGCCATTGCATCCGGAACACCACGTCGCTGCAATGTTTGCAAGAGTCGGAGATGACAAAAGCAAGAAAGATGCCTTGGAGGCGCTGGCCGATCCCCGCACGCAGCTAAATCCACCTTGCATTTCTGCGACTTGAACAAAAGGGCAACGACCAACGGCCGCAAGAACTTGAACTGCGTTACCAGAGGCTCCGACGGCACCAGAGGTGAGACACGCAGAACGCGCTGCGCGCCCATGCGAATCGGAGCAGCACAAAGAGGACGATCAATGAGACAAGCACGTTTGCGCTGGCCACCATGGAAAGCGTCGCCAGGAAGACGTCGCGGCAAGACAGACCAGAAAGCACGACACGCGCCCCCTGGCCTCCTTGAGCGCCCAAATCGGGCTTGCGACTGCAATCTGCTTCGCAGGAAAATCCATCAACAATGGTTTCTCAGGCCGCCGCTCGCCAGCATCTTCCGCCACGTACGGACAACACAGAACACGCGTATATCGGGTGCCTCTTTGCAGAAAAACGCAGCAATCCCGAATGTCAACGGCTCGATCGGCTACGGAATCAGCAACTTGACTGCAACCGCGGCGGACATGGCGACGCGCTCCTTACCCTTCCCGCTGGGCAATGAGCTGGTCCACCATGTCACTTTTCCCATGGTACTCCTGCAGCAGGTCGTACTTGATGAACCAGCTGTTCTGGTCGCGGAACTTGTCCACCTCCCTCTTGACGACGCCCCCCGCCACCTCCATCCTGCCAACCTCGCCGCCGCCGGCGAGGTAGGGCTCGAAGGCTCGGTTCTTCTGCGCGCGATAGTTGCCAGCGTTCCCCACGCCTTAACGACGCGTGATCGGAGCGCGCGTACATGTGTGAATGATTCGCGCGCGCTTGTGCGTGTGCGTGTGTGCGCATGCATGCGCGCGTGTCTGTGCGCGTGCGCGTGTGTGCGTGTGTGTGTGTGCGTGTCTGCGCGTGCGCGCGCATGTACGCGCGCGCGTTCGCGCGCGCGCGCCAAGTCCGAAGCGGCCCGAGACGGTTCGAGGCCGAGCAATGCAAATCGCATAGTTGTTGACCCTCACCCGTCCACGGCCGCGAGACGCGCCTGCCCCAAGACGCCCAAGAAACCCAAGACGACGAAGGCGACGGCGACGACGACGACGACGACGGCGGCGACGGCGACGGCGACGACCGCGACGGCGGCGGCGACGGCGCGACGGCGACGACGACGACGACGACAACAACGACGACGCCCACGCAGCCCCCCAGAAGCCCAGGCACCCAAGACTCCCAGACAACCTATAGGGCACAGGACAGCCCAAGACGGCCTCAAGACGGCCTCAGCTCAAAACGGCCCAATCCCCCGCGCGGGCGACGACGGCAACCGCGACGACGGCGGCGACCACGACCGCGGCGCCGTCGCCGTTCGCGCCGCCGTCGTCGACGGCCCAAAGAGGGGAGGGCGGGGAGGGCGGGGGGGAACAGTTTGTCCTTCTGGACTGGAGAGCACTGCAGTCCGCAGGCGCTGCGCGAGCGCCGCGAGGAAGGGAGACGCCACTGCAGGATATTCAGCAAGAGCGCCACGGCGTCGCGCTGCGCATTGGCCGAGCGGTTGCCCGC